CACAGTAATATTCACAGTAACACATTTTATTTTCATCTTTAAATCACTTCTTGGTCTGCTGCCTTCATACATCTCCTCCTACATGTTTCTGCATGAGTGCAGCTACAGCGTGCGCTCTCAGGACATTATTACATGCAGTGTTTCCTCAGTGAGGATCGACTGAACTAGGCAAAAGGGCCTTTTCCTAGTCCGCTCCTGTTTCCTGGAATATCTTGCAAAAAGATCTGAAGCTCTCGAGCTTGACCTCTGTAAGTGGTTCAAACATCTATTAAAGTGGCTGTGACACGCTCATCCTACAAATACAAAAAGTGGAAGAACATCTTAATTTTTAAGAAATTTGGCATAAAAGACGTGATTTCACCCATTTGGTCACATAGTTGTAATATTTTCTTTTGAACTTGGCCTAGCCAAAGTGAAACAGGAAGTGACATCAAAGGGGAATTGCATAGTCTTTGTTTATAAAAACATAATTTTTTGGACTTGAGCTTCATCTTTCTCTGATGGTGACTCAAAATAATCTTAAGAAACATCAGATTCTTCTCTATAGTCTGTATGGTCAGTTGTTATGTTGATGCTCAGTATACATGCAGGCCTTCCCCTTTGACATCACTTCCTGTTACTGCGCATGACAATATCTACAATTGGTTGAATTAATAAAAATAAAAAAAACTGTCCATGAGAGTGATTTATTTATTTATTTATTTTGCCATACGTTATTAACGTTATCGTTCCAGAAATGCATTTATATTTATTACAAAAATATGACGTCACAAGCACTTTAAGTTTCTGGCAAAAAACAATGCAGACATGTTCCTGTTTTTAGTTTTCTACACCACCTTATAATCTAGCTGGTTTTTTTTTTGCTACTTTTTCCTTTTGACTATCCTTTTGGTTGTCATTTTATTTTAACATGTTAAAAAAAAAAAATTGTATTCTTCTTTTATGATTGTCTATTGTTGTGGTTGTTATTCATTGTTGTCATCACTCTGTTAAAAAAAAATAATAATAATCAGGTCTGGCCTTAAATGAGTCCCCGAGGCTCAATGGGATTAACCTGTATAAATGAAGGTTGAATGAAAAAAATAAATAATCTAATTTTACATTGAAAGAAAGTCACTAATACAAATTTCCACATTTTTAATCAGTTTTCTTTGTACATTATATGTCTTCAATTATACTACTTCATGTAATTTTCCACCAATTAATGCTGTACCGCAAAGGAAGTCACGCATGTGTCCAGTTAAGAAAGCACATGACATCTTCCTATTTCTCAGACTGACTTTGGTCACTCTGACCTCAGCTGGACATGAGCAGGAAAAAAAAAAAAAGACATTGTTTGTGACCGTAAAGTGTAAAATAGTGTCGTCCATCGCATTCAAACTGGATGATTTACGACAACTCGCTAAGAACATAGCTAATCTGTTTATTTATTTTAATTAAAAGTATAATTTTATTTAATCACCAGAAGAATATTTAAGCTTTGAGAGTGCAGTTGGTGAAAATTTAGAAATTAATTTCTCGACGCGCTCGTATTATAGACATGCCGGTAAAGTATGTGCGCTCCGACTTGTTCCGGGAAGGGGAAGAGTTATCTAGTTTACTTTACATAAAGGTAAATGACTCTGAACAGGAAAACACAACAGCTGCTCAACTGGTGCGAGGCTCACGGCAGGTATCACTAAAACATTTATATTTTTAAACACTGCATCTGTAAAACAGCGATTGTTCTGTATAGTTACCGTCTTTAACAACAAACGTAGTCGTGCTGCGCAATGAAAGCTCGTTTCACTGGAAATGAGAAGTGAAGGCAGTGACGGGCTCATTGTTATTCATTCTGCTTGTGTAAGGGATATTTTTATCTGCTAACTATAAAGAGTGTGTGTATTCTTTAACAGTGTTTTATAAGAAGACAAGCATGCACAAATGACTGGACCTCACCCCAAGCCTGGCCAAATAATGATCAAAGGTGTGTATTTATTAGTTTTTCCTCCACTTCTGCAGCAAGTAAGGCTTATCTATCTATCTATCTATCTATCTATCTATCTATCTATCTATCTATCTAT